TAACGACCTGGGCAGCCATAGTGGGCACCACAGGGGTAGCTGCCAGGGGTCGAGGAGGTGGACATGCGACGCCCCTGCAGATGGCGCCTGGCGCCTGCCAGACGAGGGGGGCCTGAGTTAGGACCAAGGTCTGTGCCTGAGGGGCCTTCACAGGCCCCACTTCTGTCGTCATCTGGACAAGGATGTTGGAAGCCCCAGCCCAATTCAGGGCACGGCCATCCTGTCCTGCCACCAGAGGGGTCCTGGGGAAGGCAGACAGCACCGGAGGGCCACCTGGAGGAACCACTGCAGTCCTGAGGGGCGGCCCGTGTGCTGGGCCGGGAGCAGGTGTGGCGAAGGGCAGAGCCGTGAACACTGGCATGGAGGCGCCAGCGTTCTCGGTCACGTCTGGTCCCAGCACTGGGTATGCTGTGGAGACGAAGGAAAGAGGTGAATGAGCTGAGGTCTCCAGGTCTGCAGTAGTCACTGGGAATCAGAGGGGTGTCCTACAGTTGACGGAGTGTGACAGGGAAACTCTGCAGCTTGCAAGTGTCCCTGAGTGTGCATCGGATGCTCTGTTCCTCCACAGGAGGGTCGCCTCACTAGAGAGCCTGGCCACGGCTCCACTAGACTCCCTGACGCCTGTCTGCCAGGAAGCAACAGCCAAGCCTTCGCTGCCTCTGAGGGTCTCCCTCGGGCGTCCCTGGCACACCCTGCCAGCCTTACAGGCATCTCCCAAGCCATGGGTCAGGGATGAATCTCTCGCCGGCTTGGTGTCCCTCAGCATGCTCAGCAGCAGGTGAGGGGCCTCCCCCAGGGCAGTGCTCTGCACTCAGAAGGCCTCCAGGAAGCCAGAAGGTTCCTAATATTATGGCCCCATCTCCTCTTCAGTCTTCCTTTTCCTGAAGCTCTCGTACACCCCTTTCTTTCCTAGCTCAGCACAACAAAAGAAAACCACTGAATGGACCGGGCGTGGTGGTTCACGCCTGTAATGCCAGCACTTTGGGCGGCAGAGGCTGGCGGATCACCTGAGGTCAGGAGTTCAAGACCAGCTTGGTCAATGTGGTGAAACCATGTCTCTACTAAAATGCATAAGCTGAATGTGGTGGTGCACACCTGTAATCCCAGCTACTCAGGAGGCTGAGGCAGGAGAATTGCTTGAACCCAGGAGGCAGAGACAGCAGTGAGCCAAGATTGCACCACTGCGTTCTAGCCCAGGTGACAGAGCAACACTCTGTCACAAAAGAAAGAAAGAAAGAGAGAAAGAAAAGAAAGAAAGGAAAGAAAGAGAAAATAAAGAAAGAAAAAGAAATGATGGAGGAAGGAAGGAAGGAAGGAAGGAAGGAAGGAAGGAAGGAAGGAAGGAAACCACTGGATGGAAATCTCTCCCAAGCCAGCGCCCTGTGAACCCTGAAGATAACCCAGACACGTCACGCCCAGCATGCAGCTGATTGTCCTCGAACCGTGCACAGCTAGCGCTAAACAAGGGTCAGAGTCAGGCAACACTTTCCTCAGTACTCAGAGGTCTTAGCTGCCACTCAGGAAGCTCTGTTCCCAGGGAGCAGGTCTGAGAAGCAGTGGTGGAGTTCCCTGAGGTACTGTCATTGCTCAGCCAGCAACAGCGGCACACGATTAGAGCACAGCCAGCCAGCGGTGAGCAGTGGGGCTGTCAGGGGAGGTGTCCGGGGATTTTCACAGCTGCTGGTCATGTTACAGTAGGTCGTGGGACAGCGAGCCCATCTCTGGTCCTTTGCCTTTGAGCTCCCAGTAACTGAATATAGCGACCAACTAAGAACCAGAGGTTCTTGGGCCACAGGCCAGGTGGGGTGTAGTTGTCTGGAGCTCATCCCTGTTCACTAGGACCTCATGCAGTCTCCAGTCAAGGGGAATAGGGATACAGCACGTGCACCTCATCAGTCAGGACACACACCCTAACTTGAATAATAATGATAAGAGGACCATCTTCCTATTTGTGCGCTACTCTCCTTCCTCTACTGAAAAGGAAACCACCTTTCCAGACCCTTCCACTGAGAACCCGCAAGAGTCCACACCTGCCCCCTGTTCATGAGGCAGTAGACATGGAATAGAAGCAAATCCTTCATCTCCACAGTAACACAAAGTGCAGAGGACAGGCCATGAGCTAGCAGACAAGAGGAAGTGGGTCTGAAGACCTGAGTTTCCACAAAACGACGAACAATTCAGAACAACCTGGGAAGCCCAGGCCGTGTTGCCTGAACTTCCCCAACTGCCCCCACCCCTGTTAAATCAGAGCCAACAGCCACCTGAACTGACAGAGAAGCCACCTCTGGGGAGGGAGCTGAGAGGCTGCGGCAGTTACAGGACCCCCAGCCTCGCCCACCCAGAGGCTGTCACTGGATGCTCTGTCACAGCCAACCTACCCAACAGTTTTCTGGCTGAGACCACTTCTCCCCACTCCTCCCTAAGATCCAGAAAAGTCCAGTCCAAATCCCTCTGAACACTATGGAAGGACACCTTCCAGGAGCCTGAAGACACAAAACAGGGCTCAGACTTGCCTGTCATCCTCTCTGGGCCACCAGCACAACACAATCGCACCACTCCCTACACAGTGACATGACCTGTCCCCCTCTAGAAAGAATCAATACATCCTTTCCACTACATGGTGTATTCCCCCAGGCACCTTGGTCCACCTCTAAGGAGCCATCCCCCATAACCACAGACTCAGGGTGCCATGGCCCTCCCCAGGTGTGATGTCTTTGGGGACATCCAGTGCTCCCTCCCTCCTCAACATCAGCCCTATCAACTGTCCCCGGGGCAGTGTGAAATTTGAATTCCCAAGGATTTGAAACATGGCAGAGACTTGGATAATGCCCCTTTCCCTACAGACTCACCTTCATTTGAAGCCATTTCCTCAGGATGGATGCTGATCACCACTGTCTGACAGTTTCCACAATGACAAAAGTCACGGGTAGGGCCCAGAGAGTGACCTGCCTCAACAGACTCTCCTGAGTTCAGGTGGATCAGGGAAAATTTGAAAGTAAATAGGTTTAGAACATAGGACCCCAGACATTCTGCAGAGGGGGAGGGGCAGTGCAGCAGGTACTGGTAGGGGTGGGGGACATTCTGTGAAGGGCTCCAGCCAATAGGCAAGAACAGGTTCCCTTCCAGCTGGACGGCAGCAGCACAGACTGTGTGCACCTCTTTAGGCAACTTTTAAATTGTTCTTCTGACTCACAGCACAAAGCTTCAACCTGATGTCCCCTTTACTTCCAATCTTTGTCAACAGACCTGCTTTTGTGCCCCTCAACCCATGCTGCTTCCCACTTGGGCTCTTTCCTACTCTTGATGAACCTCAACAGGGGCTGCACTTCCTAAACACAATTTAGAACACTTTCTAAGAACCCTTGTGTTTGTCAGACGATCCACGTCTGGGTCGTCTGCCTGGTTCAGGCAGAAAGCCTTTACTAGAAAGCCTCAGTCTGGGAAAGAGCGGCTTTGCGGCCAGAAAGCCTTTCATTTTGTTTCCCAGCATATTGTGCTGGTATTAAATGTTTATATTTTATCTTTTCAATGATTTTAATTTAACCAAGCAATACTTTTGCATGGTTCCAGATTCAAATTGTGCACAGTGGAGTAGGCAGTGACCAGTCTTCCTCCCACTTTTTTCCTATCCACAACATTTTCTTTCCTGTAACAAATGGGTGTTCTGATTCTTTTTCATCTTTCCAGAGATATATTATACAAACAAAAGGACAGCAAAAGCTATTTTTGCTGTCTGCAAATTCTTTCAGGTTTTTTTGGGTGAAGGTTGATATATTAATATGTTCCAGTACTCTGATACTTGCAGCGACTGTGTTTGTCTCAGTAGTAATGTGGTTCCTGTCTTTATTTCTATAGGTATATTGCTAGAATCAGATGTTGTACTGTTTTTTAAAATTAAAAATGCATGGAAGAAGAGTGGCCGGATTTAGCAAGTATGAATAAGGAATGCCAAGCGGAATTTGAATTCAAGATAAGCAGTAAATTAGTTTTTATTGTAATTGTGATTCATATGATATTTAGAGTATACTTTTACAAAAAATCTGTTTGTCCTTTATCTGTATTATTCACCACTCACTGGGATCTCGAACTTTATCTAGTAAGTCTTCCCAGAAAAGTTTAACATATTAAGTCATTATTGTTAAGTCTCCCTGTGAGAGTGAGAACTTGCAGTAACAAGACTGAAGTGTGACTCTTGGCTTCACCACTAAACACAACCGTTGCAAAAAAAAGAAATAGTCTGATTTGATGCCGTGACGTCTGGAGTCGCCATTTTACCCTTCTCAGCTTCCAGGCTTAGTAGCAGTAGGCCCAGATGTAAGGGACAGGAGGACAGAACACCATCTTTTTCTTTCCTAACATAAAGCGGCCTACAATTCCTAGAGCTCTGGTTTCTCCAGGAGTTAGGAATCCACTACCCATGTCCATTCTGAGACACGCCAGGATGCTCTCCACCAGTGTCTTGTTCCCATTTCCATGCACCTCCGTGCATGTCAGAATCCTGGGAGAGGAGCGACCTCCACGCAGTGCCTGCCTGTCTGGGTGCTCCCAGGCCTTTTGTCCTCTGAGACAGAGCTGCCTTCTTACGTGCAGCCCTCTTCCGCCGTGCAGCTCGCTTCGATCTTAGCTGAGAAGATTGATGGAGAGCGATTCAAGCAAAATCATGGTAAACCTACCAAAACAACATCCCCAGTAGTGGGGATTACAGGTGTGCACCACCACATGCAGCTAATTTTTGTGTTTTTAGTAAAAGATGGGGTTTCACCATGTTGGCCAGGCTGGTCTCGAACTCCTGACTTTAGGTGATCTGCCTGCCTCAGCCTCCCAAAGTGCTGGGATAATAGGCATGAGCCACTGTGACTGGCCTGTTAACACTAACTTCTGAGTTACTCCTTCCCATTTCCTTTTTTGTATTCCTTTTGTATTTTGCAAATACTTTGTATCCTTATATCAAGATCATCTGTGACATTGACTTAATTGGCATCTCCCTTTTGTTTTACAAGTGATGGTCAAAAAATGAGCAAACAGAAAAAGAATTACCCAGATCCAGTTTCCGTTATCCAGAAGTATGGTGCTGATGCGCTCAGGTACAAACCAGTGCTTTTCCTTGTGTGTATTTATTGTTTTTTATGTAAGCATCTCCTATGCTATTAGAATTCTTAGATTTGGTTTATAGTTAGGTTTTTAACAACACATCTCTGTTATAATTTGGGTGTTATGTTGGTATGCTTGTTGATCTTCAACTCCCCAAATAGTTTTCTAGATAATAAAGGCATTTTTAAACCTAGAGGTCTGTTTGGGGAAGAGGACCTCTGTTGGGTGTTGTCGAGCTGTCCAAGCCTTCCCCAGGCTAGATGCAGATTGCCTCTGCCTTTCTTCCTTTCTAGGTTCCCTGTCTTGTTGGTATTTGAATTTTCTTTCATCATTTATTTTAATTTTGTACCTACAGAGCCATGTGCGATATATCTATGCTAGAGCTAATATATCTATGCTAGAGCCTGGTTGTGGTACTGCCAGAGAAGCAAAGCAGGACATGAGTTCTGTGTGTGGAGCAGGGACTTAAGATCAAGGAGGATTTTGCAAAGAGTGGGATAGAACATTCTAGGTAAAATGAACAGCTTTAGCATGGCAGTTACTTCTCAGTACTCATTTTCAGTTTGCGGACAATCGTTCAGTCCTAGACAGTTTTACTGTCCTTCCTTCCTGAGGTTTAAAGTAATTAAACCCTGCACTTTCTGACAGGGTTTTAGAATATCTCTCAATTCGTAATTACTGTTTGGTGCAGAGAAGTAATGTTTTCCTAAACTCTCTTCGGTTCACTCAAAAACATAATTGAGGACTTAATGTCCTACATTGGTGCTTATCTTGAAAATATTGCTGAAAATCAGAAATTCACATTGCCAGCAGGGTTTGGGATATTTTTTATCTGTTTGTTTAAGTGATATTAAAAGTTTATTTCCTTATAGTAACTTACCCCAATGTGCAAGTGTTTCACTGATTGTTCATTCCTAGGAAGAAGAAATAGAATTTCCCTACAATGAGAACACAGTTAGAAAAAGCCCCAACATTACGGACCAGTGGATCCTGTCCTTCATGCAGCCCCTCATTGGCTTCTTTGAGACTGAAATGGCAGGTGAGTCTCTCTTGGTCTGTCCTCCCAGAACTACTACTGTCTTTGTAACTGCCCTTTTGGTATGTATCTATCTATAAACACAGTGGAGGCCGGGCGCGGTGGCTCAAGCCTGTAATCCCAGCACTTTGGGAGGCCGAGGCGGGTGGATCACAAGGTCAAGAGATCGAGACCATCCTGGTCAACATGGTGAAACCCCGTCTCTACTAAAAATACAAAAAATTAGCTGGGCATGGTGGTGTGTGTCTGTAATCCCAGCTACTCAGGAGGCTGAGGCAGGAGAATTGCCTGAACCCAGGAGGTGGAGGTTGCAGTGAGCCGAGATCGCGCCATTGCACTCCAACCTGGGTAACATGAGTGAAACTCCGTCTCAAAAAAAAAAAAAATAAAATAAACACAGTGGAAATATTGAGAGATACAGAAAATTAAATAATTACCTCCTTTCACCTCTCAAATGTAGTTTTGTTAAGGCTTGTTCATTGTTGGGATGTCTTTGTTTCAAGACCCTGGGGAATTCTGACCTGGCTTGGTGGCTCACACCTGTAATCCCCAGCATTTTGGGAGGCTGAGGCAGGCAGATCACCTGAGGTCAGGCATTCCAGACCAGCCTGGCCAACATTGGTGAAACCCGGTCTCTACTAAAAATATATTAAAGAAAAAGTTAGCTTGCCATGTAGGCGGGCACGTGTAATCCCAGCTACTCAGGAGGCTGAGGCAGGAGAATCACTTGAACCTGGGAGGCGGAGGCTGCAGTGAATCGAGATTGCACCACTAACTGGGTGACAAGAGTGAAACTCCATCTTAAAAAAAAAGAAAAAAGCACTGAGCAATTCTGTCCTTAGGGGGTGTCCTGGCGAGCTCAACCCTCCACAGAAGAGCTTTGGAGTTCGATAGCTGTGGGTTCAAAGCCCAGCTCTACCACTTATTCCCAATCCAGAGAGTTGCTTAAAGTCTGACCATCAGTTTCTTTTTTTTCTTTCTTTTTTTTTTTTTTAATTTTTATGGGTACATAAATATATATATATATATATTTATGGGTTATATGAGATATTTTTAGACAGGCATACAATGTGTAATAATCACATCAGGGTAAATGTGATATCCATCACCTCAAGCATTTATTGTATCTTTAAACATCCCAATTATATCCTTTTCGTTGTTTTTAAATGTACAAGAAATTATTGTTGACTGTAATCACCCCATTGTGCCATCAGATGCTACTCATTCATTCTATCTTGACCTTCAGTGTCTTTATCTGCAAAATGCCCAGTACTGTTCGTAAGGTTTAAGTAGAGATGATTTACATAAAGTAGCTGGGAGATAATAGGTACTCAATAAATAATACTTGTTATTATTACATTTATAACTTATTTTTAGGTCTATTACTGAATAGTCCCCATCTTTTCCAGAAAAATTAGAAAAGTCAGAAGAGCAATAATGAAATGGACATATTGTTAGATTTCTATTAACTAACGTCAGTAAGTTTGTTAGGTAATTTTATAGAGATTCAAAACTACATTATGTTGAGTTCCTCAGGGTTTCAGATAGTTACAACCATAGGTCCAGGTATGACATCTGGGACACCTCAGACAATCAGTTAAAGTGGGCAGGCAGAGGCCCTGGGTCACAGTGAGGACGAAAGAGGGCAAGGCAAATCCATCCTCACAGGACCCTGCAGATCCTGCTGCTGTTGGGCAGAGCAGCGGCCGCCACAGACCTGGGATTCACCATTAGCCTATATACTGGCACATGCCACTCCCTGGAAAAGACAGTACTACCCCACATAGCACAAAAACACTGTTAACCAGCCACCCTAAAGGATTTGTCCACCTTGTAAATATGTAGAAGGATCATGACAGTCCAGCTGTTGCTCAGATGGACATGGATGAAGATGGAAGTGAGTGTGAGGCTGATTCTGCCCTGAGGAGGGCAGCACTGGGAATCCAGCACACTCTGCCCAGACTGCTCACAGCTGTGTCTGCTTTTCCCTCCTGAGTGGTAGGAGTGGGTGGGAAATGTGGGGATTGTTGCTTGGAGCCGCTGCCATAACCTGGTGAAGCTGGGTCTGGAGAGTGTGCACCCTGACTGGAGCCTCATCTGCCTGGAAACTAGAGATCAGCAGCCACGTCGTGTGGGTCATATTTAAGTCCCAGCTCTGCCAGCCTGTCATCTTCATGCCCTCCACTCCCTCAGCAGCACCGTGGGTGTGAGAGGACCTGGTTCCCAGGGTGGCGGTGTCCTGGGTAGTGGCTGCTGCTGCTGCCGCTGCCCCCATATGTTGTAAATTCATTCATTGCATGTGGGGTTCATTTACTCACTCAAAGTTGAAACCAGAACATGGAAAACCTTAGCTTCCTGGAAGGTAAAAGGTGGTGTGAACCCTAGAAATCATTTAGACAGAGCTCAGTCACTGAAATCACCTGTTGAGGAAAGTGTGACCAGCTAATGACTCTGGCCTGGGGCTCAGCCCTCTGGCACCCGAGTTCTGGTCTTTGTAAACAGCAGCAGAGAGCAGCTCTGCCCGTAGCAATTTCTCATCTCTTTAGCTTAGACCAGAAGCCTCATTAAAATTCCCTGGATTCTTTTCATTATCATAAACTGTGTTTGTTTCTAAGTGTTGCTCTTTTGGTGTTTGTTTTTATGCAACAGAATATTAATTTAAAGGGGAGGTGAATGAGAATCCCTAAAATAAGCCTTGCCTCAGACACGACTGGCTGAACACCCTTTCTTTCCTACCTGACCTCTGAGTTTCTCAGGGAACCCTTCAAATCCTCCTGATTCCTCAAGACTTTCACTACTTCTTTTGCTGTTTTTACTAGGCTGTTTTAATACTTAGAAAGCAAGTTACATTTTATTCATATCCAATGCCAGTTTCTCAAGTGCAGCACTATGGACAGTTTGGGCCAGATTATCCTCTGTGGTGGGGCTGTGCTGTGCATTATAAGATGTTGAGCATCATCTCTGGGGTCTACCCATTAGATTCCGTTAGCACCACGTTATCCGCCAAGTGGGGCAAGCAAACTGTTTCTTAAAACACTGACACATGTTCCCCGCAGGGCAAAATTGCTTTTGTTTGAGAATCACTGACCTATACTGTGCCTTTTAGCACCTGATTTGAGCTTTTTGTATGTCTTTTAGTTGCAGTACAATGTACTACAATAGAAAGGAGTTGGGCATTGTTGATGCCGTCAAATTGCACAACTCCCTGTAAACGGTATTTGCTACACTTGTGTAGTGGGCAGCCTTGGACTTTGATCCACACATGTCGGAGTTTTTGGCTTTTTTCACTGACCAGTGGGAATTCACATGTGGCTCATAGGGTGGTTTTATGTGTGCATCTCGAAACACCTTGACTGCCATGTAGCACATCCTCAACAAATGGTCGTTACATGATTGCTCCATTTTGGTTCTTAGTAAGTGGGGGCCCTTGGGTAGAAGAGGCTGCACATTCTTTGTTGTATCCAGCCCTCTCCCCACCCCAGGTGCCTGTTATTCCCTTGCTGCCTGATTGACTTGTCTTACTTTTAGCTTATAGGCTTTACACTGTGGTGCCTCGCCTTGTCAAGTTTGTAGATATTCTCACCAATTGGTATGTTAGAATGAACCGCAGAAGATTAAAGGTAAGTGCAGACTGCCGTTGAGAAAAGCAAAAAGCACATGAAGTTTGAGAGTAGAAGAAATATGAGAATAGCCCAAAGGGAAAGGGACATTTTCAGATGCTCTCAGTTTTTGAAGCTATGCTTTTCTTCTCCTTTTACCTTGCATTTTAACTATATTTGTCATTTGAGGCATAGGGATCTGTAAGTTCTAAAAGTCATTTTGCATGTTTTTTCACAACACAATTACGTACATATATTGGAGGGAGAATGTCAGGGCACAAGCATGACTAAACTGAGCAGACCTCTTCACATTCTAAATAAAATCATGCAAATATTTTATAAAAATATTGGCAGGTAGGGCTTTAATATTGAGAGAGATACCGCCTTCCTTTTACCACAAGGGAGTTGGTTATTTGGCTGTGGACAGAACTACTGTGTAGCTGTTGGGGGTTTAGGATGAGCACAGCATAGGTCCTGGTCTCAGGACTTAAGCAAGGTACATAAATAACAATGATGTATAACAGGGAGAGCGAAGTCGCTTTACCGTAGGCCCAGTAAAGGCTCCCACCACCCATTAGTCGTGTCTTTTTTTTTTTTTTTTTTTGAGACATTTTCACTCTTGTCACCCAGACTGGAGTGCAATGGCAGGATCTCGACTCACTGCAACCTCTACCTCCCGGGTTCAAGTGATTCTCCTGCCTCAGTCCCCTGAGGAGCTGAAATTATAAGTGTGTGCCACCACGCCTAGCTAATTTTTGTATTTTTAGTAGAGACAGGTTTTATCATGTTGGCCAGGCTGGCCTTGAATTCCTGACTTTATGTGATCCACCTACCTCAGCCTCTCAAAGCACTGGTATTATAGGCATGAGCCGCCGCACGCAGCCAGTCATGGCTTAAAATGCATTAATAATAAAACCCTGCAACACAACTATAATTTCGTTTTTGTGCAGGTGTATCTCACACACACATATCTAGAACATATGCTAAGATGTTTACAGTAGTTATCTCTGGATAACTTATTCATGGTTGAAATTTTTTCATTATCTTCGTTTTTCCTGCAATGAATTAGGTTTTTTTAATACACAGTATATATTTTTTTAACATAAAAGATCTTGTATAAAGGTACTTTAAGTTTTCAGTTAGCAGCTTTCTGTCTGTTGTGGGTAGATCCATTCTGCCCTCAGCCTTTTGGTCCTACAGTTAGGCTTTACTTTCCTATCCGCTCGCCTCAGGTGGGGTTAGAGGGACAGCAGCTGCACATCCTGGCCAGGCTTCCTGCACTGCCTTGCAGGGCCACCCTAGACAGCCTGTGGTGGTGGCCCTTTCTTCTTACTCTGCCTCGTGTCCTGTCTGTGTGCTGCATGCTGATTGAGGGTTGCCTCTTTTTAATCAACTTGTTTTTTTTTATGATAAACACTTATTTTAGCAGTTTATGTTTCCTTTTTATTCATTAGGGTGAAAATGGGATGGAAGATTGTGTCATGGCCCTAGAAACCTTGTTTAGTGTTCTGCTCTCTCTTTGCAGACTTATGGTAAGATGGTTGGCTTCTCTCTAGTACCCTTTGGCCTGTGTGCTGCCTTCGGTACCCACTTGCTGCAGCGTCCTCCTCTTATATCTGTTCTCTTTTATTCCACCAAAAACAGAAATAGACGTTTTATAACAGCTTATAGCTGTAGTTTCTTTTCAGAAATCTTATTATCTTATACATGTTAAGTAAGGACTAAGAAACACTAGATTTTTTCTTACAATCTCTGTTAGTATAGTGCATGTCAGGGCCCTTGGCTTGAGAAGGAGGATCTACAGTTTGAAGTAAGACATACCTCGTCTTAATATATGGATTGGCATAATTGCGAATGATGGGGAAGTTCTTTAGCTAATACCTATCCTAGCAAATATATCATAAAAAATACTTTGACTTAGCATTGAGAGGAAAACGGGCAAGTAATTGTTCGATATATGTTCCTATCAGTTCAAATATTAGTTAAATAATATAAAAGTGGAAAGTTTCCAACTTGCTTTTTATCCTGTTTCTGCTACTCCGTATATTATAAGGCTCCTATTTATTCCTTAACTGAAGGAAAATCTGCTTTGTACAAGGTCCTGTGCCTGATCCTCTCCATGCCTGATCTAACCACCTTCATCCTATGAAGCAGGGGGTGTTTTCCCCAGTTTACAGATGAGGTTTCTGAGGTTTGGGACAGTCAGTCCTCTGTGCATACTGACTTGGCCGATATATCATTAGGTGCTCCTGTTTCTGTTTTAGACATCCTTCAGAATTCTGGAGATGCTTTGGGTTTTTCTGGCTACAGTCCTGCAGCTATGCTTCAGGGCTGTGAGGCCATTTCTCATTCATAGGGCATGTTTTATAACCTCATGCCCATTTCGGTGCATATTACTGTGTTGCTAACATGTTTACTTGTTTCTCAGTAAAAATGAGGTCAGTTGTTGGTGACTGCATATGACTGACATGATGTCCTTTGTCTTCATACAGGCTCCCTACATGCCTTTTCTCACCGAATTGACGTACCAGAATCTAAAGGTGCTGATTGACCCTATTTCTGTTCAAGACAAGGACACACTCAGCATCCACTACCTCATGCTGCCCCGTGTTCGGTAGGAATCAAATAGAAATAAGCCTCACCTTTGTCAAGGAGGGAGCATTGCTCAAGCATGTGCGGGAGAGGAGGCATTTCCCTGTTCCAGCTCCCTTTGTGCCCTGCCTCCCACCCTAGCCCCCAGCTGACATGAACCCCTCGTCAGGCTGCATGATGAGGCCCACGTTGGTACATGGTAACAGGGATGCTTGGTATGGAACCCCGTTGTAGAGCTGCAGCATGTGGGGTGTGGGCATGTCCCATGGGGGCCCCTTGGGGAGGTGCCGGGTGCTGAGGCAGGCTCAGGCTGCTGCCTCTTTCTCTGTTCCCCAGGCGGGCACTGCGCTGCCCTTCCCCCGGCGCCTCATCAGGAGGGCCTCGCCACACTTCTGTAGCCTCACCCTCTTCCTCACGTAAGCATGCCTAATGTCTTGAATTTTCCTTTTAAATCTAATCTCTTTCATATTCCTACCTCTACCACTCAGAGAAGAATTGATTGATAAGAAAACAGAGAGTGCAATATCTCGGATGCAGTCTGTGATCGAGCTTGGACGAGTGATCAGAGACCACAAAACTATTCCCATAAAGGTTTGAAATTCTACTTCTATTTTACATGGCACCAACCTAAATATTTAAGTCTTTGGGGTGTTTTCTTAATACAGAGAGCTTCCAGCAATGGCCTTTTTTCTTTTCTGCAGTGAGGGTGTGAATGACTTAGTACTAGTCCAGCCTGACTAGTCTAGAGCTTGAGGTTCAAATAAACATTTAATATTCATTTTTCTGCAGTTTAGGAGACTGGCTGCTGAGTGACCTTTCCCCTCCCTTTTCCTCCTAGTATCCTTTGAAAGAAATTGTGGTTATCCATCAAGATCCAGAAGCTCTTAAAGATATCAAGTCTTTGGAGAAGTATGTCATTGAGGTAAGATGGATAATTTGTCTGTTTTGAGTACAAATAGACCTCCCTTGAGAACATTATTTTGATGAATAATCTTCAATAAAGTACATATGGACTGTATAATTTATTTTTATTAGTATATTCGTAAAAAATTTAACAATCCATCATATTTTACACTGTGCTTGGAATCAGCACAAATTTGATATAATTCTTTTTTTTTTTTTTTTTTTTTTTTAGCGGGGTTTTTATTCTTTTTCCCCAGGCTGGGGTTGAAGGGAGCGGATTTGGCTCCCTTGCACTCCCGCCTCCTGGGTTCAGGCAATTCTGCCTCAGCCTCCTGAGTAGCTGGGATTACAGGCACGCACCACCATGCCCAGCTGATTTTTTGTATTTTAGTAGAGACGGGGTTTCACCATGTTGACCAGGATGGTCTCGATCTCTTGACCTCGTGATCCACCCGCCTCGGCCTCCCAAAGTGCTGGGATTACAGGCTTGAGCCACCGCGCCCGGCCCCCTGATATAATTCTTGATATAAAAATATTTCAAGATCAATGAAGTTTTTAACCTGTCACCTATCATCTTCATTTGCGTCTCTTCTGTGTTGAAGTGTTTTTCTTTTTTTTTCTTTTTTGTGAGAGTCTCACTCTGTCACCGAGGCTGGAGTGCAGTGGTGCATTACCACAACCTCCACCTCCTAAGTCCAAGCAATTCTCCTGCCTCAGCCTCCCGAGTATCTGGGACTGCAGGCTCTGCCACCGCACCCGTCTAACGTTTGTATTTTTAGTAGAGGCGGAGTTTCACCATGTTGGCCAGTCTGGTCTTAAAACTCCTGATCTCAACTAATTTGCTCGCCTTGGCCTCCCAAAGTGCTGGGATTACAGGCATGAGCCCCACTTCGCCTGGCCTTCTGAAGTACTTTTTTATAACTACCAAAGAAACTTTGTTCCTCCAAATTAGACAAGTGCCCTCGCATTGGTTATAAATAATCAAGGCACTAGCGTAGTAAGCCTCTTTCCACTCCATCTCTCCTGGAGTCTCACTTCCTGACTGCTTCATAATTTATATAATTACTCGCTTGTTGTTTGAAATTTAGGTTTCTGATTACAAACAAAAGCTATGTATGTACATATATGCATATATCACTGTATGGATATTCAGTACATAACCAGAAGTGGAGTTTTGGGGTCAAAGTTTATAGTGTCAGTTGGCTTTCTAAACCTCTTTATTCCATGATTTTTTAAAAACAAATATGTTTTACCTCATCTTCTTTGTGATGCTAGAAAATAAAAATTTTTTAAATTTCATTTATTCTTTTCGCTGGTAATACTTAAAATCATTATTGTAGAAAATATTAATTTCTATATTTGGTTTTCAGTCGCTTGAGAATTCCAGAGAACTGTTAGAAACTGAAAATTAGACTGTAAATTCTGAAAATGGTACCTGTGGTTATGCATAAAATAGAAACTTTTTTTGTTTTTCTTGAGATGGGATCTCATTCTGTCACCCAGGCTGGAATGCAGTGATATAATCTTGGCTCACTACAGCCTCCATCGCCTGGGCTCGGGCAGTCCTCCCCCCTGTCTCCCAGATAGCTGAGATTAGGCATAGTAGTACAGGCTTTTGTACAGATGGGGTTTGACCATGTTACCCGGTCCAGTCTCTAACTCCTGAGCTCAAGCAGTCCTTCCACCTCGGCCTCCTGAAGTGCTAGGATTACAGATGTGCACCACCGTGCCCAGCTGAAAACATTTTAAATAAATTACTTCAGTCACTTAAAATGAGGTTAACTAATGTAGCTAAATATAATGGCAAAACTAAACATTCCATATTATTTGCTTCAAACTGTTGTTCTCAATGAGATCTCATTTTCTCATCTACTGTGCCATCACCATCCCTGCTGCATCACTAATCCTCAGTAGCATGACTGAAGCATGAAGTCTTCTGTTTAACTGATTCTTCTGCTTGGTTGATAGTTAACTTTGTGGTACTCTGAAATTGCTTGCACAAAGGTTACCTCTGAGGGATGAAGTTTATATTTCTGGTTCTGGAGTCCTTTTTCTGTTATGCTCAACTGTCTCGGTAGATCTTCATAAGAAACATTTTTTTCTTACCATACAAGTCACTGGTTTTTAAGCATATTTATAAAATTGTACAACCATCACCACAGTTTTAGAACATTTTCATCATCCCAGAAAGAAACCCAGTGTTCATTAGCATTCACACACCATTTTCCCCTTGATACCTGACCACTTCCCGGCATCCATGAACCTATTTGCTATCTCTGGGTTTGCCTTCTCTGGACATTTCATATTAGTGGAATCGTACAATTTGTAATTTTTATGTCTGGCATATTTCAGCTAGCATAATGTTTTACATTAATTTATGTTGTAGCATGTATGAGTGCTCAGTCCTTCATATTGCTAAATATTTCATTGCATGTGTCTACAGTATTATTTTATCCATTCACTGTTGATGGACATTTGAACTGTTCTTACTTTCTGGCTGATGGGAATAATGTTGCTGTGGACATACGTTTTTATGTGAACATATGTTTTCATTTTTCATTTTTGTTTCCTCTTGTGCACTAACTATAGGAATTGAATGTTCGAAAAGTTACACTGTCTACAGATAAAAACAAGTATGGCATTCGGCTAAGGGCAGAACCAGATAACGTGGTCCTGGAGAAGCGTCTGAAGGGAGCGTTTAAGGCAGGGATGACGTCCATCAAGCAGCTGAGCAGTGAGGAGCTGGAGCAGTTCCAGAAGACTAGTAGGTGTCTACACAGACAAGGGCGCACCATTCATGTACTCAGGCTGAGGGATATTTTTTATTTACATTATTGTTTGACTTTAAAATTTAAAATAAAAAATAAAATTTTTAAAAAATAAAATTTAAAATAAAATTCTTTGCTTGTATTTTCTTTTTTTTTTTGAGATGGAATCTCACTCTGCCACCCAGCCTGGAGTACAGTGGCAAAGTCTTAGCTTACTGCAACGTCTGCCTCACAGGTTCAAGCGATTTTCCTGCCTCAGCCTCCCAAGTAGCTGGAATTACAGGCGTGTGTGACCACACCTAGCTAATTTTTGTATTTTTAGTAGAGATGGGATTTTGCCATGTTGACCAGGCTGGTCTCGAACTCCTGATCTTAGGTGATCCACCTGCCTCAGCCTCCCAAAGTGCTGGGATTATAGGTGTGAACCACCACACCGGGCCATCCTTTTCTTAAATAAAACTCTTTTTCCTGTTCATAAAAATATTTTTTTTTTTTTTTTTGTATTTTTTTAGTAGAGGCAGGGTTTCACTATGTTGATCAGGCTGGTCTTGAACTCCTGATCTTATGATCTGCCTGCTTCAGCCTTCCAAAGTGCTGGGATTACAGGTGTGAGCCACTGCACCTGGCCATAAATAATTTTTACAATTTAGAAAGAAAATAGTTGGGTGCAGTGGCTCACACCTGTAGTCCCAGCACTTTGGGAGGCCCAGGTGGGCAGATCACTTGAGATCACTGCAGGCGCATATTACAACAGTTAGTCGGGTGTGATTATATACACCTGCTATCCCAGTTACTCTGAGAGGCTGAGGTGGGAGGATCCCTGAAGCCTAGGATAGCTTTTGTCCTTACTCTGATGGCGCCTGCTGACATTAAAGATTTGGGAAAATCATTATGGTTTTGATAAATGCTATAAAGGGAAAAAATAGCGTAGTATAAAAACATGTATCGGGGTACCTAACCAAATGATGGGATTAGGAAAGGGAAATTAGCCCCATCTCGGCACCCCTCTACAGAGCATTTCAGGGTGCCCAAAAATTTGCAGCTGTGCTATGATTAGAATCATACATGGTTTGAGTGTGGCTGTCTGACATCCTGTGGCTGTTTGGGGCACAAGCTGTTTACTATTAGGACTTCCTCTGAAGTTGAAAATCATAAGCTGGGAGATATCACGAGAAGAGAGATTTAAGGATTCATAAATCAGATGAGTGGCTAAGGAAATTGGGGGAAATGTCCCTAAGATTCCCCAAATATTTAGATATAATAAAAACATAAGACATCAGCAGCTAGAACTCAAGTTATTTCTAATTACAAATCAACTCAAAATATTAAAATAGAAAACTTACAAACCTTGAAGTCACAAATCTAAATTGTTTCACCAGATAGCCACGGCATCAAAAATTCCTGAAATCAACCTTATTTGAAATTGAAAGCCTATTTTCTAAATTTCAGTTTCTGAGTAAACTGTTCTACACTGATGAAAACAAAATTGTTTTTTGGAACACAGTGACAAAGTAAACATAGACATAACACTCTGGTACTCAGAGACCAGAAAAGTCATTATCAATGACAACAGTGGGTCTCCCTGTCGCCGGGGGTGTTGTCCTCAGCAGCGTGCACATTTCTACCTCCCCTGAACAGGCATGATGCTCAGTACCACACACTCCCTGTCTCATTTTAGCCTCACCATACCTTTCTCAGCATGCCATGCAACCAGCTAATAGTGGACCTAAGTTCACTTTCCCTCTAAAGGCTGTGTTTTCTTCATTACATCCTGCTGCTCTGTGTTTATGGTGAGCATTTGTTGCCTCTAGGTGCCTTCCCTTAGCCTTGTCATGTCTGTGGACCCGAGAGTTTATATAAAACTAGATATTGGTGATGATTTAACTGTCTTCAAGGTAGTGTAGTGTAGTCCAAAGAAAGTTTGTCATATCTTGGCTACAACCATGACATGAGTCAGAGGCAAATGGTCTCTTGAAACCTCTGTGGCTTTGCTGTTGTGAAATTTTCATGAAGAAGGGGCATAATACATGGGTAGTGGCGCAGCTTGAAGAAGAAGGGAAGCTGATTAACAGTGTATCTGCTTCTTCATAGGGACCATTGTTGTGGAAGGCCATGAATTGCATGATGAAGACATCCGCCTCATGTACACCTTTGATCAGGCCACAGGTGGGACTGCACAGTTTGAAGCACACTCAGATGCTCAGGTATTTTTCTGTTTCCTGAAACATTTCTTTACCAAGAGATGAGAGCATAAGAGGAGAAAGCATTTGCCTGTGCCTTTCCTGATAATGTTGACAGTTTGTCTCAGGGTAAAATAAACCAGTTACTTGGTTTAGATTGGCTTTGTTAAACTAATATATCATTATGCCTTTAACATATGCATTTGTTTAATGAATACATAAGTATCTTGTGCTTTCTACATGTAACTGTCTCAAGTGTGGGGTTGCACAAAAATGAACCCTTCATGCTGGGCACGGTGGCTCACACCTGTACTTCCAGCACTTTGGGAGGCTGAAGCATGCAGATCACAAGGTCAGGAGATCGAGACCAGCCTGGCTAAGATGGTGAAACCCAGTCTGTGCTAAAAATACAAAAAATTAGCTAGGCATGGTGGCACGTGCCTATAGTCCCAGCTACTCGGGAGGCTGCGGCAGGAGAATCACTTGAACCTGGGAGGCGGAGATGGCAGTGAGCCGAGATTGCACCACTGCATTCTGGCCTGGGCAACAGAGCGAGACTCTGTCTTAAAAAAAGTGAACCCTTCAAGGAGTGTCAAGAACATATGAAATTAAGCCATTGCTTAGTATTCTACCTGTTAAGTTATCTGGTAGAAATAAGTACACAGAGAGCTCCTATCCAAAAATTGGCATAGAGGTGAAAGTGGTCAGAAAACACTCCTTGAAGAGAATATACAGGCTGTTTTTGATTCTGGTGTCAATATTTTTTGCCATGATGAAAAAGAGACTAACTACTTGCAATCTTGATCAGACATCCCCAGTCGGCATAGTTGTAAGATCTCGCATGTGGGGTTGGGGATATCTGTGCTTAGCTTACCATTTGCAGGGGGAAGGTAGAGCAGCACCTCCATGAAAGGAAGGTCGACCTCCTCAGTCCTTTACCCAGGCACTTAAGTTAGATGTGTACAGAACTCCCCGTGGGCAGACAGTGGCAAGGAGTCAGAGGTATCAAAGCTGGGAAGGAATGCAAGGGAAGGCAGGTAGGAGGTTTGTAAACACTTGACAGTGGGCAGTTCTTCCTCGTTAAAACAGAAGTTAGGGGCCTCATCATGTGATGCTTCTGAGTTTCTTGACATGGCTTAGATGTTGTAGTGGGCTTGATGGCCCTCCACTGACTGGAGTTTTGAGTTTATCATTCATTTCATTACCTCTGATGCCTTTGTGAAGTGAGTCATTTCTTAACTTCTGTTTTTGCTCAAAGGTAAATGAGATGATTCCTAATTTACAAGTCTTTTGTAGAATGTATTCTACTCTGCAATGTGCTGTGTAACAGAAGTGATGGTGTCATTATTGCTACATCATAATCGACAACCTTCAGAATAAATAGAAACGTTAACCTTAGCAAAAATATGGCAGTTTATATTAAGTCAAAAAGCTTTGTGGTTCATTGTAGAATTAGTCTTTTGTCATTCTGACAAACCTAAAGATCACAGGGGTCATGGTATAAGAAAGGCACTTGGAGTTACTGCTGTGAGGCCTTTGATCCACCTGTTGTGGCCTGAAAAGCTGTGCTGCTCCAAGGGCTTCATGATTATTGATCTTATTTATTAGAAGAGTTGATATTATTTCTTAGATGTCCGAAAAGCAGAGTCATGTGAGGGGACTCAAGAGGTGGTTTCAGGGCATCTCCTGTGAGCAGCACCCTACAAAAAAAGAAACAAAAAGCTGCACACCTTTCTCCAGAGATGGAGGACTGGCTGGTTTTGAAGAAGTACCTGAATAATAAACTAGATTAATTTTATTGCTTTTGCTCATTTGTGTGAACAAATAGTGCTGCATTAAAGAGTCTCCAGATTGGCCAGGTGCGGTGGCTCAAGCCTGTAATCCGAGCACTTTGGGAGGCCGAGGTGGGTGGATCACGAGGTCAAGAGATCGAGACCATCCTGGTCAACATGGTGAAACCCCGTCTCTACTAAAAATACAAAAAATCAGCTGGGCATGGTGGCGCGTACCTGTAATCCCAGCTACTCAGGAGGCTGAGGCAGGAGAATTGCCTAAACCCAGGAGGCGGAGGTTGCGGTGAGCCGAGATCGCGCCATTGCACTCCAGCCTGGGTAACATGAGTGAAACTCCGTCTCAAAAAAAAAAAAAAAAAAAAAAAGAGTCTCCAGATTAAGTTTTAAATGGCATTTTGCTGAGTTGGGAAGAAGTGTTTCTCCTTGTTTGATTGCCATGGTGTGGTGTGCACTGTTCATTCCCACAGGCTTTGGTCCGCTTAGATGTCACTCCTGACCAGTCAGTGGTAGTTGAAGGAATGGCTCAACAAGTCATCAGTCACAAACAGAAACTTCACAAAAAGATTAGTTTGTCAGTTAACAATAAGCTACTATTTTGGCATTTTGGTTGTTGGGAAAAGATAGGAGAGGCAGGTAATACAAACCGTAGTGATCAGTGCTTGATAGTCACTGATCTACAGTCTGTTTGGATTGTATTCTGCAGGAAAGTCACTCCTCTTCCCCTCCCCACATGTTCACTCCCAAGCTGTAGCTTTGAGCCAACCTGTGCCTTTTCCCATCCCTTTTTTAGCTCCATTGGGCTTCTGTGATATAGGCCCTGTGACTGGGGCAGAAGGTAATCAGAGATGATAGCGTCTTTGCAGAAAGGCAGAGCTGCAGTCAGCATAGACAGGCTTCTAGCTTAGGGGAGGTTCCTGGGTCTGGACAGAGTGGGGACAGTTTTTCCTCATTAGAGAACTGAGGAACACACGCAGAGCTCATCCTGGAGAGCCGAGGGGCTGCCAAGCCCCTGCCAGTGAGAGAATCAGGAATTTCTTGCCCTGCAGAGGGCAGTGACAGCTGCCATACCTCTTGCTTCCCAGGTGGTTCAGGGTCTGTGGAGGCTGCTCCAGCAGATAAGAAGGTGCTTATGACCTCTGAATCAGTTCAGAACTTTGTTAAGTGGGTTCTGAGTTATTTCTTGGTTTCAAGATTCATGAGGCACTGATTGTGTCAGGAAAAGAAACATGCCCTGTCCCCAAAGAGTGGGGGAAAGGACACAAGGTAATCCTGTACTGCAGTGCAGTTAGTCTCATAGATTACCCAGCAGAGAGGGACGGGTGACTGCCCTTCTGTGATGATTCAGCATGGGATCCGTAGCCCTTGTTCAACAGTACCTTCTTTAAGTTCTGATTAATAGAATGTACTTTCCTTTTAAAATTTTCTGTGTGTGCTTTCAGTGCTATCTGGTCCAACCGATGAAATCAGAGTGAAGATATCTGAATAATGTTTCGAAAGCCACACAGAGTTCATATTTCCACCATAAAGGTTCCCTTGAAACCATATCCAGTTCCTCCATCAGATAAAATCCTTATTCAAGGAAAAACACAGGTGAGTGCTGAGTTCCACTGAACTGCTGAAAGGTTCCGGATTGATGTACTCACGTGTTGATATTCTGTCCCCAGTAGAGATTGGCACAGCACTCAGTCTGGAAGTATTGCTCTGGACAGTAGTGGGTGGAGCTAGAGAGAGGAAGCTCAGAAAAGATGGAGGGGGGATAGAAGGCAGAACTGTTCTCACAACAGTTCTCTTGAGGAAGGTAGCCAGGAGAGTAGATGAGCTTTGCCCAGAAATAAAATGGCTATGTGGGCCTGTTTTTCTAAAACTGGCAAAGTCAGTGTGTGGATTCTGGTAATCATCATTAAAAGTAAACAGCAATTGGCTTGAAAAACATTTAGTTCTTCGGGTAGTGGGTTCTCCATAAAATTACAATACCAAAAAAGAAAAATCGCAATAGCAGCTTCTGTTGTTATATCTAGGAATTTTAGATATACTTATGAAAGTCTGATATTAAGGTAGGGAAGATACTGGCTCGTAGGAGGATCATATGAACCTGGGAGGTGGGGGCTGCAATGAGCCAAGATCACATCACTGCCTGGACGACAGAGCAAGACCCTTTCTCAAAAAAAAAAAAAAAAAGGAAGTAGATCATTTAAAATATATCTCAGTCACTTATTTAATTATTTTCTCCTGTCTCATTCTTTCTATGGGACAAGTAGGACAAGACAAGAAGGGGCTGACCGTGGCTGTTTGTATTATCAGTGAGGCAAGTTGTAATGTAGTTTCATTTTCTGTTTTGCATATTGTGTAATTTTTTTACTTTTTTTTAAGTGAGCGTATATTTTTAAGAGAGCAGAATAAAAGGAGAAAAAATGGGATATAAATTGTAGCTTTTGACTCTTTGAGTAATGAGATTCAATATGTTCTCAGTTGTATACTGTAGGGCTGAGGGCCCCACAGAGTCGTGAGGTGTGCCTTATGCTGTGCTGAGGTGCAGGATCCGGGAAATAAAGAGACAGGACACAGAAGTACAAGGAAAACGCAGCTTTGCTCAGGGGGCCACGCCACCTATAAGCGGAGTCAGGCGAGGACCCGAATGTCCAGAAGCATGAATATTTATTGTGTATAGGTTAGGGGGCAGGGCAGTGAGTGAAATCATTTTTAAGGATAGTAATAGGGTCATGAGCAATAAAACATGGAGTCCACCCCATTAGGTCACCTAGGCCAGGAGGTGGACAGTGCGCAGCAAGGGGCCTGTTCCCATGAAGGCAAGTGCCGTGTGCAGTAAGGGGTCCACCCCCATTAGGTCACCGAGGCTTGAAGGAGGGCCATGCGCAGTGAAGAGGCTGTAGTGTGCAATACTTCTATCTATAGGCAAACTACTTCTAAGAAGATTTATAGGAGGATGCTTTAAGTCACATAGCAGTGACAGTTGTCAAGGTGGAGTGGCTCATGCTTGTAATCCCAGCACTTTGGGAGGCCAAGGTGGTTGGATTACTTGAGGTCAGGAGTCTGAAACTGTTCAGTACCAGCCCCAGCCCCATTCGTTGGTGCCCTTAGTCCTGGTGGTTTTCCCCGAGCTCTGGGCTCCAAACACTTTTCTTATATGCATAATTCATTGATCTTATGGGCGTGGAAGGGAGGGTGAAGGGGTAGGTAAGATGGTGTGGAGTACTTGAAATGCTTCTAAGACTCGCTAAACTAGTGCTCTGATTGTTATCAGGGCGCAGGTGCATCCGAAGTCTGGCACAAGGAGCCACCCTGTCTGACCCCACCCAATGCATCAAGGGGCTTTTATCTCCTGAGCATTGAGGGCATAGAGCAATTAAAACCATTCCATATTCCAAGAACCTAGGCAGAGCCTGAGGTGTTCCATAATCTCTGCCCTGCAAGGCTTTTCTCCTCCTTGCCAGCTCCCATCTGCAAAGACCCTCCCAGATCTTGTGAGCAGAGGTCACCTTCCTTCTCAGAGATCTTTGCATAAGCCCTCTTTACCAGACCCTCATACATTCTCCATGTTCAGAAGGCATTCGTAGGACTAGAGCAGTATTGCCTGCTCTGCAACCACCCTGCGTTGTTTCCTGGTGTTACTTCCCTCTCAGGTGGTCTTTACCTTAGGCCTCCTGTTGCTGCTTGATTTCTAATTAACTGCACCAATAATATAGTTTAGTTTGGTACGTAAACTTAAGTGTACTTTGAACCAAACAAGCTTACAATTATTTAGCTCAAATTAACATAGGTCTCCCCCTGGGCATCTTGACCCACAGAGACTAGCCTGACCAACATGGTAAAACCCGGTCTCTACTAAAAATACAAACATTAGATAGGTGTGGTGGCGGGCACTTGTAATCCCAACTACTTGGAAGTCTGAGGCATGAGAATTGCTTCAGTCTGGGAGGTGGAGGTCACAGTGCACTGAGATATTTTTCGTTAATAACTGCTCTACTCTAGCCATACACCATAGAAAAAACTATGGTCCCATCACCACCCATACCAGCAAAGGCCAATTAGGTAACCTGGCCTTGACCCTTGTCAAGCTGAAGACCCCCCTGTCACAGGGGTATCAGACAAGACCAAGTAGGGAGTTGGGACTTTCATCCTAGTGGGGCAGAAATGAGCCCCTCTGCCCAGTGGTATCAGTGGAGGCCACATGGGAGGCCTGGATTTCTATCTCCTTTGGGCAGTAACAGTGCATCCCTCCCATTCACAAATGCATGGCAGCAGTGAGGCCACATACTACCAGCACCTCCTCTGCAGTGTCAGTAAAGGTATGCATGAAACCCAAACAGGATAAACCCAAAAGAATCCACGTCAACATGTATCATAATCAAACTTCTGAAAACCAAAGACAAAAAAATGTCTTGTATGCAGTGAAAGATATAACACCTAACTTAGAGGGGAAGAACAATTCAAATGATACTGGATTTATCATTAGGAACTACAGAGGCCAGAAAATGAAAAGGCAGCATTTTTGAAGTGCTGAAAGATAAGTATTGTCTACCAAGAATTCTATATCAATCAGAGATACCCTTCAGAATGATGGGAAAATCAAGATATTCTCAAATGAAAGAAAACTAAAAGAATTTATTGCCAACAGACCAGCCCTAAAAGTAGCTGAAGGAAGTTCTTAACACAGAAAGGAAATAATAAAAGGGGGAATCCAGAAACATCAGGAAGGAAAAATGGAAAATCAAAATAGAGGGTAATTCAATTGACTTTCATTCCTCTCATGGGTGTAACAAGCACTGTATCATTGTTTGATGTGGTTCTCTGTGTATGTACACTGAGGCCTGAACATCACCAGTGGGTTCTTGGGTCCTGCAATTTTAAGTGAAAGGATGTACTGTGTGCCATGGGAACTTAACTCCTGTGGTAAAGTTGGTTTGTTATACAGTACATCATTCTGCTTAAAGTCACAGTTTCCAAGAACCTACCAGCAATATTAAGTAAGGGCTTACTGAACAAGTAATAGTTAAGACAGTTACAAAGGAGACCATGTTTATACATTTATCACA